ACCCTTAGCACTTCAAATATTGGTAACTATTAAATTTAAAGTTAAAGTTTTTAATGTTATTGGAAAGAATGTGTGTGCATGCAGGTGGGAGCATACATCCCATAGAGTTGTGTGTTTTCTTTGATTGAAATTATTGGCATGAGTAAAAAGTTAACCCTTATAATGGCTGGCCTACCCCACTAAAACTAGCTCTATATACCATAAACCACCAAAATTGTTTATAAACTGAAGTGAGAACGTAAGTCTGATTTGTCATGTTGGCAGAGGCAAACTATTCCAAATAATATACTTAAAAGGCATAGGCAGAACTCTATTTTTGCTTTTTATTTTTAGATCAATAATAAGGTATTCATTCTTTAAGATCACTCTCTTCTTGCTGTACAAAATGAAGGTAGATACAGTCTCTGCTTTGTGACTTTAATATCTGAATAAATGTAAAACTGTAAATGCATAAAAGGCCCCAGATGACTAAATGAGGCAAGTGGATATTGTCATATATTAATGCATATATAAGCTTTCAACTCACACAAGATCATGTTTTAGCTAAATGCCAGTACCCGAAGTAATTCATTTAGGAGCTCCGTAGGATGCGTACTTTTCTTTCCACCTGCTGAAGAGTTGCTTTTCAAGCTGTATTAATAAGATATATTTAATTTTTGGTTACTAGCCAAATTAAGTGCTTCCTAAATTCTCTTTGCCAAAATTCAAGTTAGTCTTTGTAGTTTTCTCCTGTTAAATCTCAAGCCTTGGCACTAGTTTGGACAGATTCTTAGCCAGTATTTGCTGCTGATACATAGGTATAGTTGTGCACACCTACGCTAGTCGTGGCGTCATTGCCTGGTTTTAATCTCCTTCACTTTGGTAAAAGGGAGCCTACAAACTGGCCTGCCATAAGAATGGAAATTGCACAGCTTTTCTTGGGGCTGCTCTAAGAGAAACTGGAACGATGACCGTATTTCACAGTATGGTGGTGGTGCAGCTGTGTGCCAGTAGGTATGTCCTATTTTGTTTGCTAAGCTTCGATAGTAATGTTGATTACTTTTTATTTTTATTTTTTCTTATCACCTTAGGAGAAGTGTAGGTTTTCTGCAGCCATCACAGCACTGGTCAAATATATTCGTTCCACTTAAGCATCCTGGATGATTTTCTGCCAAATGAGAATGTTTTTGGCATCTTGCTGAGTGGTTTAGAATTAGTAGTCTGAATCACTTTATGTGTTTCACAGAACAATTTGAAAGTCCTTCCTTCCTTACAGGCTTAACCTTTGCGAACTGAACGGGAAGATGGCTGTGTTCATAGTATTATGAAATTAGGGGGTTTGTGTAAACTTATATAGAGGTCATCAATGTTAAAAATTCCCCAGTTCCTGTACAAAATTTTTTACTTTTTTGTTCTCCATGGTGGAAACAAACGCTAGTCAAAGAAAATAAAAGGTTTTCATACCTCTGTTAATGAAACAGCTGATTTTAGTGCCCTGTGCTTACAGAACTTGCAAGAATCCATCAGAGAGCCTGTCTAAAGCTTTGTGCAGCAGCTTGATAGTCATCATTTATCTAGATGCGGAAGCCCTGTTTTCCTACTCCCCAAGTATTGTTGATGTCAGTAACTTTACTATTTCAGGACTCTGCTGGTGCTCTTAATGATATGTGTTGCATGCCAAGCTTTTACGGATTTAATATGCTGACTGACTTGTATTGTTGCAGTATTAAAGCAGCATCACAGTTCTCGAAGGTTAAGAATTAATCCTTTACTCAGGCAACCTAAATTCTGCCAAGATCCTCACGTTTGATAATCCTAGACATTAAGGGAGGAAAGGTACAAGCAGGGTGTCTTAAGTGAAACCAAGGCGGCTTCTATTCTGAAACTGCATTTGGACTCTATATAGTATGGGTAGTTATTACTCAGAAAAGTGAATGGTTTTAGTATCTTACAGGCTACAACTCTGCCTAGCGCTCTCTGGCAAGACAGAAAATACGTCGCTGTCATCGCCACCTGTAGCAGAGGAAAGCCACAGTATGTCTGTTGTTGTTCAGCATGGTCAGTTTGAATGCCCTAAACTGACACTGGATTTTTGTTGTTGGTTATTCTCATCTTCTTTCACTATCTTGTTCAGCCCCCAAACTGACCATAATAGGAGGCAGATATTATAAAAATCTGTCTATTTTCATGATAATTTAAATGGATATAACTTATCTTAGCCTTAGCTTGGTCAGGTTTCCAGATAGCAGCTTTTGAATAGGTTTAAATACAGTGGGGGGGGGGGGGAAAACCCCACCTTTTAGAGAATTTTTCTTGCATGCATAGGTTTTGCATACTTTACATTGGTAAATTTTAAACATACTTGATCAAGTCCAGTAGATACAAAGTATCCACCTTTTAGATCCAGCCTGTTTTCTTGCACTGGGACTCCTGACACCTTTCTGTAGCTGCAGCCAAGTGGGTAAGAGATGAAGTGCTGCCCATTGCGATGTGTTTGGAAGGCCAGTGCTTTGGCCTGGGGCCAGCGGGTGGCACTTGGACCAGGGACAGTCTCTGCTGTGTCTCTCTCAGCAGCTGCAGAACAGCTTCTGCTCCGTGGTGTTCCCTACCCTGGGTGTAGGAAGCCTAGTCAACAGATGACGGCTCAGCAAATTGGCAGTTGTTTTCACTAGCCCTTTTCTGAAGCACTGGGGTGGCTGGCCATGGGAGGCCTCTGCTGCAATGAGGGCTTAGGTGAGCTCGTTTATATCTCCTTACCTCAGGAAGAACTGTAGGTTCTTCCGTGAGGTACCTTGGGCACAAAAATTTGTTGGTCTCAGGCACACTTACTGCTTACTGTGTACTTGTTTACACTTATGCTATGAAATTATCTTCTTTTTTTTTTTTTTTTTTTAAATGAAGATAGAAGTTTCCTGAAGTTGATTTATCTTAGTGTAGAAGAGCTACAACATGATACCATCCTGTTAGCATTAGGTGGTGTTGGCAGTAGATTAACAGTGAGTGTTCTGCTGCATCTCAATACAGCCATGCACAGTGTAAGCTGTTTTGTAGAAAAATTTAATAACTAAATATCTTGCCTAAGAAATTTTCAGTGGAACAAAGCCAAAGGAGAAAAGAGCATATCAAACAATCCTCTTAGTTATTCTCAGCAGCTTGTAGAAATAGGTTAGTTCAGCTTAGTAAAGCATGGAGTTACATGTTCACAGTTTAGAGTTCTGGAATAAAGAAAGAGAGTTTTTGTGAAAAACTTGTGGATTGAATGCCAGGCAAAAATTCCAAACTTTAGTACAGTTTTCTGTACTTAATTTGTGTATGTGTATTATGAAATTGACCAGCTCAGCTGCTTGGCATTTTGTTGGCATTTGGATTAGTCATGGAGAGAAGTCAGTCTTTGGACATTATATTTCAGCAGCTGGGTTATTTTGTGCATAAGACATTGCTACGTTTTGCTTGATGAAGAGCCTGCCAGTGGAATGCTGTTAGGTCATGAGACATAGCTTCAATTAATATCAACTTCTAGAATGACACTTGATTTAAATATTAACATTTTCTATGCTTTGAGTAAGTAAACAAAGGAGCCTTGTGTTTTAATCTTCCTTCTCTGCAAGGATGTATAAGAGAAACCTGCATTTTGAACAGCAAAACAGGAAAAACAGAAAGCTTGACTACTCAATTGTCTGTATTGATTTAGCAAGGTTAGAAAGGTGTTTTGGTGGGTGTTTTGATTCTTTTGTTGTAAATTATTTTCTTTTTAAATCTAAAAATGTTAGGAAAGAAAACTTAAGCTTTTTCATTTTGTTGGAAATGCTGTATACTGTGGGGTTTGGGAAGAGGTTAAACTTGGTACAGGCTCTTTCACAAGGGAAGTTGGGAACATTTCAACTTTTCACAAACATCTTTTTTTCCTTTCAATGTGTTCTAAATTATTAGAATAAATGCAGTGCCTCTTCACAATTTGAGTTTCAGAATCTTGGCACTGTGGGGTTGAAATCCTATTAAATCCGCTGTGTTCTGTGACTTAAGTCTTTACCTGTGTAGGACAAGTTGCAGGATCAAAGTCTATTGCTGGGGTAGGCAAGCTCTGCCTTTCCAAATAAATAGCTAATATGTGATCAAGAGGGGGAAAAAAAGTTAATTATAGATTGTAAAACCAAAGAGGATGAATAGGAGGGCACATCTTTCCTGTGCTTCTCTGATAAGCACATTTAAAATACTTCCCTGCTACCCTTTCTTCATCAAAATGCTAGTCTGTGGTAATGATGTGAACTTTCATTAAAGTGCTTTCTGCCTGTACAGAAAAGCAATGATGCAGTTATGCAGGTGCTGAGAACTTCAGTTCTCAGTCACTGCTTTTATTTTTGCAACCCAGAGTCATCTTGTTCTTGTACTCTCTTGGCTCCAGGCTCTGTGTTACACTGTGGGGTTCTTTGTGGGTGTGCCCGTAGACACCTGTTTTCATGCCTTGCTGCCCTTAAAATGAGAATGTTATCATTACATGCGAAGATCTATAACCCAGTTTCTTTACTCTGATGTACATCATTCGGATCCTATAATAATGGGAGGAGTGGACAGAATGCAAAAGTACAGATAATTGCAAGTGGATTTAAGTTGTATACGCAAAGATGTACTCTCTCTGCACTGAGGAGGTGGATGATAGAGGGGCTACAAGATGAATTTTATATGTCTAAACAGGCTTTAATTTCAATTTGAAAACTGACAGTTATAGAATTAATAAAATTCTTATTGTGAAAAGTAGTTTACCTAGCATCTAAAATTATTATTCCATTTATATGATTAAGTGGAAAGAAGGGTTTATTGATTATGCTGTTTTCTTGGCAAAAAATAGTCGTCTTTTGGTGAAAATATGTGTAGCAAAGTTAAGTGAAATAATGTAGCTTCTGAAATGAAACCTTAGCGTAGCATATGTTTAACATGTCATTTATTTCACTAAGGCACGTTTGGAAGAATTTTGTATTGTTTGTAGAAGTGCTTAATAGTTTTGTTGGTTTTTTGCCTTTCAGTCATTATTTAACCTACTGGAGTTTCGAAGACTAGTTTTGAATTTCAATCCTCCTGCAAATGCTCAAGACTTGCCCCGAAACCAAAAGGTAAAATTAGAAGCTAACTTCCCCTAGTGGCTGATAAGGGTATTTCTCTCTTGTAATTGAATTTTGCACTGTTCTCTAGCTCAAATTAGCATGAATTTTATAATTAATGTTTCTCTGAGCTTCCTATTACGAATCGTATGTAAAATATGTTAACCTCACGGTAGAGTACAGGGTGTTGGGAGAGGCCAAGTTTGCTCAATGTACTGCTGTTTAGACCAGGTTCAGTGGAAGGGCTTCACTGGTACAGCTGAACAGCACTGCCACCAGTAGGTGAGCGTTTCTGATGTGAACGTAGCTTGTGTTAGCAAATGTCTTCTATTGTAGTTCCCTCACACTGTGCAGCTATGGGCGTCCTTTTTGGTTATCTGCGTGTTTTTGATCTGTGTAGCTTTGCCAGCAGCATTGTTGGTATTTTTGGGGAATGCCAGTACTTATAACTCATGATCTGAGATCAAGCTTTTGGTTATTAGCTTGTCTCTTCTGGCCTTTTTATGAGGTGGTCGTAAGCACAAATTTTGCCCTGTTTTATTCTGGTACTCATATGGGTTTGGGGGTGGGGGGCCTTAGCTCAGGTTTGTTGTGACCTCAGACTGGCAAGGGGGGATGGTCATAGACTGAGGAACAAAATAGGCCATTTTTTTCTTCCTTCATGGATGCCCTCTGAGGAGAGGTACATGGGGACACCTTGGTTTCTATGTTCTGAAATAGAAAGGAAGAAATGGGAAGAGGAATTTGCTATATGAAGTGTGAAGGCACTTGATGCCCTGATTTTTAGGAAGGGCTTACAGAGTAGAGAATTCTTTCTTATCCAGAAATTAGACTATTGCCTTTTTGCCCCTTTCTTTTGGATTTTAAAGGGAGTGTGTTGTCACCCTGTTCTTAGTTGTTTTGCACTTCAGGCTTTGCTGGAATATTCACTAGGAAAAGTGAGTGCTGCAATTAAAAAGCAAAAGAAAACAGACATAGAGAAAATTAGTATCCATTTTCTAAACCTCTAGATGTGTACCATAAACGGGAAGCTGAATGTTCAATCAGAACTGCCCCCCCCCCCATTCAAAGATCAAATTGTCACTTCGGGGGTTTTTTAGGGGAAAATGTTTGCTTTGGGTCACAAGATGGTGTGCAAATACAACATGGGCAGTATTGGGAACATGCCATAAGAACGTGATGGGACAGTGTATCTAAGTAAGAAAGAAAGGATAAAGTCACCAAAGTGTCATACTTAAGTACTTATTTTTGTATCTTTAGATTGACTTTCTGACTGGTATTTCATTATTTGTCATATACTTTGTTTTAGTAATACCTCCAGTAGTCAGAGTTCTTTACCTTCATTTTTCAGGGTCTAAAAAGCAGTTGGCATCTAAGAGATAGTATAAAATAGATAATAACAATCTGTTGGCTTTGAAAAATGTCTTGCCTAAGCATTCACACTGGCAGCTGAATGCCTTTAGCAATTCCAAAGTGCCATTTCTTAGAAATTCTGACTGTGACAGACAATATTAAGGCTGTGTGATATGGTGTGACATCAGGCAAGTATATGGATTTGTGCAGAAACCTTGCTTTCTGCAAGCCTGCTAGTAAGAATCTCTGGCAGTAGTTTGGTCCTCTCCTTTGTTAACTTAAATTCCGTAATGAAATAACACTGCTAATCATGTACTCATCTGTTTTCTCTGCAGCTGAAAAGGATTGTCTTAGTGTTGAAATATGTTTTGGGGAGAATTTAGGAAGAGATCGCTTCACTAGTTGGAACTTAGACAAATAGAACAAATAAGCATGCATGACCCCAAATATGGTGCTTTTCTTTCTTTATAAGGTGAAGGCAAGTAGAGGCAAATTGATTTAAAGTTGTAATATAAGGTACCAGTTGACAGGAAAAAAAAAAAAGCCCTGGAATGTAATTCCATCTGCTTACTTGTTTTAAAAATATCTCCACTTAGTTTTGTTTTGGTTTTTATTTTTAACCTAGTATTAAGTACTGTATGTGACTGACATTCCCTAGGATCAAATTTCCTTACTAATAAAGACCAAGTTTTAATAATCTCAGGTTTTCAATACTTTGGTTTACATCCATCCTGTTGTTCTTCTGGTTGGTGGAAAGTGGAGTTTAATTCTAGGATCATGACAATCTCTTGATTTAAAATTAAAGCGTGTGGTTATACTTCAGGGAATATTGCATAGTGGGTTGTTGGTTTTTTTATTCTTTCCTGTCAATATATTGAATCAAATGCTGTTAATAATTTGACATGTAAAATTTTTAATCCAGAAGTCATTGGTATACATTCTAACTTTTAAAAAAAACCCAAAGAAAACAACAACCTGTTTGCCTCAGCTAAGTGGATTTTGTTTTTCTGGATTTTAAATTTGGGCATACACTTAAAATCTCCAGTCTGCTTTTTTCTTTTTAATTGGAAATTCATTTCTCTTCCTTGGTGTGTTCTTCAACTTCCTTCTCGAGAACAAATACGGTTCTCTGTAGTTACTGCAGCTTCTTGGCCCTTCCGGTTCTTTTACCTCTTGCTGTCATACGAACAGATCTTTTTTGCTGTACACAGTGAGGTCAGCTAAATATTTGGCCTCAACGATGTCTTCAGAAAAGCTATTACTAGAGGAAGTGGGTTACTGTGCTACGGGTTAGCACATCCTTCCTGCTGTTTCAACACTATCATTATGCCAGTGTCCTGGCATACTGATTGACAATAATGAATGTTTGCTATGCATTAAACATGTAGATTGCTTTAGAAGCATTTCTAAATCATAAATTGTTCCAACATCAGTGTATTAAGAAATTACTTATGCAGGCAGGATAGGTAATAAAATAGAGAATGTTTGATTATGAACTTTCCATACAGTTTTTATTTCAAAATAATTTTAATCTTTTTTTTGTGTGTGTTGATGCACTTACAGAATGCTTTAAAATTGAAAACCATATGCAGTTCTGTGTTTGCTTTAGTAGTTCTTTTGTTTTAATGTGTAGGTCCTTTGTGGAACTGTGTGCCTTGTATTGGGGAATGGCTTATACCCTTTTGAAGATTTTAGGCTTTGTTTAGTCAGAATCACTGTGTATTGTGGTAATGCCCAAGTAATCTGGTCAAGGATAATGCCTAATACATTAAATTGAGCTTTCTCAAAAAAAAACAACAAGGATTTTTCTAGTTTTACAGAACTTTTATAGGCTTTACAGAGAGATTTGTTCTGAGTAATCCTACTGATATCAGTACCCACTTGTTTATCCTAAAGCTACAAGTATGCGTAAAACTCAGCCAAATTAGTAGTGTAAATTTGGGTAAGTAATGCAATACTCACTGCTTAGGTATTTCAGATTTAACAAAAGGAAGGTGAGATGTAGAGTATTCTCTGGGCAATCATCTGTTACGCATATCAATTATCACTGGTATTGAAGCATCTTGAGAAAATATGTATCTCAAACTCGAAATTCTATGCATTTTTATTAGTTCACTTTATGAAAATAGTACGAGAAAAATCACTTTCACAATTTGATTCCCTGTTTTATTTTGTTACAAATTGCTTTAAATACGTAAATGGGAGACTGGTTTTATTCTTAAATTATGATGATTTAATGCTGAATTAGGATGGCATTTGATGAAGTCTTCAGCCTTTTCTGTGGACACTGTTTGTGATTGGAAGATGTTTTGCAAGGTGGTCTAGAAGAGCAAGTAGAACATGCGAATTTATGTGACTAGAAGTATTTTTAGGTATTATGTGGAACATATTCCAGTTCACCATGCACAGTTTTTAAAGCTGAAGTAAACCAGGCTTCATGTGCAAAAAGCTTTATGCATACTGGATTGACATAGTAGTGACTAAACAAGCCTGCTGTCTGATGAGCATGTGAAATAGTTTGTCATCAAGTAATTCCAGTTTGACCAGCACCTGACATCTGTGCTGCCTTTGAATGATATTTGTTCTAAATACAAGTGGATATTACATGGGTTTTCATTTCACAAGTAATTGTCAACTATCTGCTCAGGAGTATGAGTGACATCCAGTCTCCACAGCATTGTAACCTGTGGGTTAATCTGCAATATGACAGATTTGTGTTTCAGTTTCCTTGCTTTTTGTTATACAGGCAGAAAGTATTTCTTCTGCTTCTCTCTTGGAAATCAGAAAAAAACCTCCATATTCTCAGTGAACTATACTTAAAAATATAGGCAGAAAGGAGAGCAGGCTATTTCTCTTACTTCTGTCAAGAGCCATTGAATCATAGAATGGTTTGGGTTGGAAGGGACCTTAAAGACCATCTAGTTCCAACCCCCCTGCCATGGGCAGGGACACCTTCCACCAGACCAGGTTGCTCAAAGCCCCATCCAGCCTGGCCTGGGACACTGCCAGGGAGGGGGCAGCCACAGCTTCTCTGGGCAACCTCTTCCAGTGTCTCACCACCCTCACAGTGAAGAAATAAGAATGATGTGTGTACGCCTTCTAACTTTAGTCTTCAGTAAAAAATGATCTTAAAAAGGTACTGGGCAGCATGTAGGCTTACAAGAAATTCTGCTAAAGGTATAGAGGAATATTAATTTCAATAAAATGCATATTGTTGCAGCGTATTACTTAAGGCTTTGTAAGTCTTGGGAACAACAGTTTTGTCTTAAATGCAACTCAGCTTCTCCACTTGCCCATTCAGGCCCATTTCAAATCAAATAGCCACATCCAGATGTGGTTTCAGGGAGATTTTAGTTTCTGAAACACAATTTTCTTCCCAGAGAGCTACATTATTTTGTAAAACTGACAGGTAAAGTGCATGCAACACTGCCTTGGTAGTACTAAAAGTAAGCTTGTATATTATGATGGCGATTGGCTGGATATATGCTTAGTTCATTGGGTAACATTTCTGTGAAGTAGATTTTTGTTACCTCTCTGTTAAATATTTTTAATTCTTCTTCAAATACAGGAACATAGGAATCTGCCTTTCATGCGTGAATTGAGGTACCTGTTTGCACTTCTAGTTGGTTCAAAGAGGAAATATGTTGATCCATCAAGAGCAGTTGAAATCCTTAAAGATGCGTTTAAATCGAATGATTCTCAACAGGTAATTTCCATGTATTTTCATTCAAGCTTATGCCTGTTTTTACATGGTCATCTGGTAATAGGAGATACTTAAAATGGACAACAAAAATTCAAAATGTTCACAGAAAAGAACTAATTATCACAGTCTTTGAGCTTTTTCTCTAATACGATGTGATCTCTAGGCACTTTTATTAAAAAAATAAAATAATAATAAAAATATTCCAGTCAGCATGACTGTTTTATTCAGTACACTTTCTTCCTATTATTTTAGAAACTAACTAATGTGTTCCATATTCTTGCTTTTAGGGTTTAGTTTAGCTTCTAAGTCTGTGGTTTTAGAAAGAGCTTTATTCTTCTGATCTCACAGTACATACAGGGCTGGTACAATCCTAGTGTACTATTTGTCTGTGTTTGATTTAGAGGGTCCTAATATTTATATTGAGGATTCTTGCCTAAATCATAGTGGGTATATTTTGCTTTTCTGCAAGATGCTTTATTTTTCCCACATGAGGTGGTGATGTGGCTAAGGTGTTCAGTTACAACAGCATGCTGAATTTAGTGCTCGATGAAAGTAATATTAGTCATCACTTATTAGATACCAAAGGTTTTGGACAATGGGATTCGTAAGATGCCTTTGGACTAGCATGGTATGAAAGCTGAGCCCAAGTAACAGGATCACAGGACAGTGTAATGGCTGAGGAACACCAGAGCCTTAGTGTGATCTAAGAGCCACCCACAAAAAAACCAATCATGGCATAGTCTCAGACATAGTTGGTTTTGGAGCTTTTGTGGAGGAGAGCACTGCTGTACTGATCTTGTAAGGTGACACTTCACTGTGTTCTGTTACATATGAGAACATGTACTGATCATTCTGTATTTTTCAACAGCAAGATGTAAGTGAATTTACACACAAATTACTAGATTGGCTAGAAGATGCCTTCCAAGTTAAAGCTGAAGAAGAGAGGTAGGACTTTTTTCTAGCTCTGTATATGGGACATTTTGATGAGAAGAAGCAAACCAAACAACCACACACTTCTCACTGTATGGCTGAAAAAGATCCAACTCTGTAGTTTGTTTTAGTTCAAGTGTGGTTTTCCATATGTGCTGATACCTGCGATTTTCCATGAATTGTCTTTTTTCACCTTATTTCATGTTAGAAATCTTGCTGAATGAAGTCCAAAGTGTATACAGAGTAGAGATGTGTTTTGTATATAATTGATTAGGCTTTTTTTCATTTGAATCCAGATTTACTTTTCAATCCTGTGGTTTAAATACTTCAAAACCTTGTTCCTGTTTCTCTCCTTAGAATTAAATACTCATCATTTGTATAAGTGAATATCTGTAAACTGTCTTTTGAATACATAATTGTTTCTGGAGTGTTGCAGGAAATAGTTCTTACAAGGGTTTTGTACAATTTAACCACTCACGAATTGAATCTGATTTACATAAATTTTCCTAGAATGAAGCACTTCTGAAACTTAATTTTCGGAATATACTTATTACTGCAAATATATGAATCATTGTTATTGCCATCAGAGGAAAGTAAAAAACTAAGTGAACAGTAACTGAGTAAAATAGGCAGTATTTCCATAATGAATTCAGAATATTCTGCTCATAGTTTTATAAAAGTTCGTAGCTTTGTGTTTGATTTTTGCAGTAACATGCTTTCTGTTTTCAGGGATGGAGAGAAACCAAAGAACCCAATGGTGGAGTTGTTCTATGGACGATTTCTAGCAGTGGGTGTACTTGAAGGTATGCATCTGAATTTACTTGGACTTCTGTGCTTGTGTCTGTTCGGTGCTTGTCTACATACACAGGTGAATGATGCAGCTGTAGCATTTTAGCTGCCTCTGCAGAAATATACTTGGAGAATATGCGTTCGGTCTGTGACGAAAAGTTTGTCCTGAGAATATGAGACTGGAGGTAAATGTAGTGAGCTGCAGTGGTCCAGAAAGACTCTTTTGATAACTTTCAGGAGCTGAGTGCATATACTTAAGTGCAGTAGAAGTTAGGGCGAGATGCTGAGCAAAAGCGCTTGCAAGAAATTATTATCAGGGCACTTTTGCCACTTACTAACGGTATACAAAGGCAAGTTACTATATTTCATCGAGCTTGCACTTTCTCTGCTTCATTTAATGCAATTTAAAATCTCAATTATTGCATTTTCTTCTGTGCAGTTTCTGGTAGGGATAAGTTGCCCTCTTAAAAGTACAGTTCATTGAAAACAAGTCAGTGGAAGCCTGCTCAAGGGCAGTGTCGGTGAGAGTACTGAGGAGGAAGAGACTGTACAACAAGCTTCCCTTTATATTATCTGCATATAATGAGTAGATCTGCAGTGCTCTGTATATCCAGGCGGCCAGCAGTTGTGGAAGTATTTTTAATGTTTGTGATGGTGTCCTCCCATCCCGAGAGTGAATGACTCCTGAGATGCATTTGAATGAAGCATCTATAGTCTTTAAAGTGGCTTCCAGGTTGTTCCCCAGCCTGGAACAGTGTATCTAATGATTTGTTGTCAGATTTCAAAACCATTCTGCAGATGTCTTCCTACTAGCTAGCATTCTTGCTCCTTTGTGTTTGCCCACTTTCATCCCCTACATTCTCATCTTAACTGAGAAGATATGTGAAAACCGAACCAGTGAAAAGAAACTGGTGGATATAAGACAACTTTAGGATTAAATAAATTGAAGTTATAAATTGAAATTACTTGTCACCCCTATTTCTCCTCATGTTTGAGCTTACATCTTTATACACTGTTACCAAATTATGATCTTGTTTTCAGGACAGAAACCATGAATGTTCTCTTTTGTGGTTTCTTGTTGCAAAATGTACTTATACAAAGGGTTTTTTCATACCAGCAATTCCACTGACCTCACTGATACAATAGAGCTGCTGTTTGCAGGAGGAGGACTTTGATTTATGTGTGTAAAACTTCCCATACATCTGCTGTGCCAAGTAATTTTGAGTTTTGCTTATCACCAATAGATGGAAAAACTATATAAAAAAAATTGACTGAAGAGGAAAATACAGTAATTTTCAGTACTACAGTCAAGTGACTTTTTCAAGTCACTTTTTTTCATGCACATAATTGAATCGCTCAATAAGAAAATGTGGGTATTGTTCAGCAGACTAGGTCGGGTGACCTAGGTTTATTAGGGTTTTTTAAGGGTAAATGTTTGTTCCTAAAAGTTTTAACTGTTTAATTTCTTACGTGAAGGTAAAAAGTTTGAAAACACAGAAATGTTTGGCCAGTATCCACTCCAGGTTAATGGCTTTAAAGATCTGCATGAATGCCTAGAAGCTGCAATGATTGAAGGGGAAATCGAATCTCTCCATTCAGAAAACTCTGCAAAGTCTGGTCAGGAGGTGAGTTCCGTGCTCCTGTGGGCTTCTCTTGGGGTGGTGTTGTAGTGCTCTTTATTTTTCATTGGGGTTCATGGTTGGTTTTTATGTGACTTGCAGCTGTGCAGGTTCTGATGTCTGGCATTATCGAGTTGTTAATTTGGGGGCTTCGCATCTCTCTTGGAGCATCATCTTTTTTTTTTTTTATTTTTCGTAAGATGCGAAGTTCATGCTTATTAAAAGCTGGCACAAGTAAGTGCTTACAGTGGTGATTTGGCACAGACTGGTTCCCACCTGTTGCTGATACTTGATCTTCAGAGCGGTCATGGGTATAATGTCCTGTGGTAGCCGGCCGCTGCTCTGACTGACTTGCCACCCTGTGCGATGCTGTGAACAGCAACCGTGAGCTGTGCGTTTGACCATTGCTTCAGAGCGTTGTTGTTATCCCACTGTCCCTCCGTCTGGTAATTCCTCAGCACCCTAGCCTTCTTCCCCTCTCCCCTTTTTACCAACATTTCCCAGCATCCTTCTCTTTGCCCCCTTCAGTGGGCAGTTCTCCTCTTTGCTCATGGTGGTGGACAGACAATACTTGCTCTAGGGGCTGCTCTTCCTCCCAGGAGGGCTCTTGCTAGAGCAGGAGGCTGCCAAATGTCAGACCGTGCTGGAAGCATGGATGAGGAGTTCAGACGGAGCCCCACTAAGAAGTGGGGTATGCAGTGTATGGTGTTGGGGTGTGGTGACGAGTGAGATTTATTGTGCAGAAGTCACAGGTTAGGGAAAAGAGTTAGTTGGAGTGATGGTGGTTGTAGAACCAAGAGAGTGTGCTCTGAAATGTCCCTTCTTATTGCTCGCATGCATGTATGTGCCTGGCATTTTTCTCTGGCACAGCTTTCTCTAATAACCTGTGGGTTATCAATATGGAAATATGGGAATTCCCATTGCCTGTGAAGGCTGAGCTGCTTTCTCTTTACACAGTTGTTCATGTTTCATCACGGTTATCTTAAAGGTGTGAAATCTTAGGAGGATTCTTCTACTTAAGTAAAAAGTTCGGGTATAGTTTTTTCCTTGATGTCAATCTTTTGCAGTAATGAAATTTTGCTTCCTTTAATCATACCAACATACACACAGAGTTTAATTACCAAGCCTAGTGACGCACACTGAAATCCTCCAGCCTGAAATTCTCTTTCCAGTTTTGTATTGTCAACAAAAGTATTATAGCATCCCTTTTGCAGTCCCTTTTTCTGGTCAGCTATTATTGATCAAATATTAATCAACCAAATCAGATATTAACAAGCATTTTCAAATATACTTACACATCTTTACTGGATGTGTTTGTCTTTCACAGGACGTTTCAAATTTTTTTTTATTCCAACATTTGTAGAAATGTATTTTTACAATGAGCATGTTTTCTGAAATATAACTGGAAGAAAAAAAAATCATAAATATCTTGGTACAATCCAAAGTTCAATTTCTTTATGCAAGGTGAAATCTTGTATGCACCTACTACAAGAGCATGATTGTTCATCTTTTAACTGCAAGATAACCTTCAGTCCGTAACCTGTGTGCGTTCATCCGTAAAATGTCAGGTCAATTATAAATGTTTAACTAGAAATATCAGACTTGGGGTTGTTTTGTTTGTTTGTTTGTTTTGAGTTTTGAGGGTTTTTTGAACTTGTAAAGTCAGGAAACAATGGGGAACAGAAGAATGGTCTCATAGGGGTCTAGGGTGTTAAGTTTCGAGTTCTGTCAGGGTTTTAATCATCTTGGCTTCTTAGCATGTGGAAATGGAAGTGAAATAGTCATATGCCTAATTGACAATGGTGGCAAAACAAGAAAGGTAATTTTTGTTAAGCCCTAATCTAGAAAAACATTACTGCAGTATTACCAGGGCCATTATGTTTCCCTGAAATTTATTTATAGTGGTTGCTGCTGTTAGTAGTTATGTTTAAGCATAATACCTCAAGATGTTATGGTGCATTGGAACGTTTGGAAGTACTGAAGGAAGCTGAATTTCTTGTAGTTTTAATGAAGCCTGTCTCTGCTGAACAAAGACTTCAAGTGGTATTCATCCAAGCTGGTAGCTATCAAAGCTTAAGGAGAATAATGTTGGTGTGGTAGTTGCGTGTGGTGAAGGATTCTGAAAGTAACATATTTTTTTTTTGTTTCATTTTTTTTTCCTTTTTCCCACCATTGCCTCTAATGGAGTATTTAGCTTGTTGTTCATTATTATTATTATTATTATTGTTATTGTTACTATTACTACTGTTATTTTCATGATGCCTAAAAGCTTCAGCCATGGCGTGGGGTGTCAGCAAATGAGCTAACGTACAAAAAGAAAGAAGAGACATTCCCTGTCCCAAGAACTTAAATCCAAATTCAAGAGAAGATGGAGGTCAATGCACATTGATAAGTGCACAATGCACAAACTTGGAGTTTGAAGTGTGGGGAAAATGATAAAATGTTTTTCAGCATAATAGTTAATGAACTTCAGCACATCAGCAGCTTAGTCATCCTGAAGTGGTGGGGGCCTTGCAACAAAAGGGTTTAAGGGAGAAGGGTTGTGATGTGGCTTTGTTGACTTAGCATTGAAATTTACTGCTGTGTGCAGTTGTTGCAGGAGACAAGTCATGATTGTCATGAAATCATGAGCTGGCCATGTGCCCAGGTGGCCAAGAAGGCCAACAGCATCCTGGCCTGTATCAGAAACAATGTGGCCAGCAGGAGTAGGGAGGTGATCATGTCCCTGTACTCGGCACTGGTGAGGCCGAACCTTGAATACTGTGTGCGGTTTTGGGCCCCTCACTACAAGAAAGACTCTGAGGTGCTGGAGTGTGTCCAGAGAAGGGCAGCAAAAGTGGTGAAGGGCCTGGAGAACAGGTCTTATGAAAAGTAGCTGAGGGTAGTCTGAAGAAGAGGAGACTGAGGGGGGAGACCTTATAACTCTCTACAACTACCTGAAAGGAGGTTGTAGTGAGGTGGGGGTTGATCTCTTCTCCCAAGTAATAGCAATAGGATGAGAGGAAATGGCTTCAAGTTGCACCAGGGGAGGTTTAGATTGGACATTAGGAAAAAATTCTTTACTGAAAGAGTGGTCAAGTATTGGACCAGGCTGCCCGGGGAAGTGGTGGAGTCTCCAACCATGGAGGTGTTCAAAAAGCGTGTTGATGTAGTGCTTCTAGACATGGTTTAGTGGGCGTGGTGGTGTTGGGTTGATGATTGGACTTGATCTTAGAGATCTTTTCCAACCTTATGATTCTATGATTGCCTCCTTTAAAACTGAAAAGGTGTCTAGTGAAGGCTGATACAGGCAAGACAAGGGAAGGCTGCTCACTTTGCATGTAAACAGATGAACAGAGTGATGCTGAAGGCAACAAATTAGGAAAATTCAGCAACATCCTGGAAATCTTTTAGTGTGACAAGGCTAGGTGTGGTAAGGCTGGGCAAGAGGAGAAGAGAGGATACATTGCACTGAGATGTGGAGTGATGAGAAGCTAGACCTGAATTTTAGCCATGAGCATGGGAGGAAAAGGCTGTCTTGGAGGTATTGTATGAAAAGACTATTCAAGACATTTAGTTGGATAGGAGAACTTGAAGCAAGCCCCTAGTCGAATGCCACGTCTGGGTTGTGGGCATTGATGTCAGAAATATGTGGTGATGGTCTCCATAGCAATCAGGGAAGCTTGAGTTGATGGTTAGACATCCAAAGCATATTAAATGGATAGACCATGGTTTTTATGTTGTAGAGTGGGAGAAAAAAGGAACTCTAATGCTGGAATTGGAGCTGAATTTGTCCTGTAGTTTAGAAACGAAGTATGTGAGGAAATAAATGAGGGCTGAGGATAGACCTTTACTGAATACTCAAAGAAAACTGGGATAAGGTGATGGTAACATGGATTTGTCTGTGGATGGATTAGGAGAGATTAAGAGATGTGAGTAGAAACTTGAGGAGAGGAGGTTAGTATGGAGGAGATTTCAAGAAAAAGTATCAGTTTCACAGCACTGAGCGAGCTTGTCTGACCCAGCCCAGAGTACTCGCTGATCCTACTTCAGAGGAGGTCGTTAGAAACTTTGGGTGATAGTAGGTGAATGAAAGGGTCAGAAACTGGAGTCTGAGAATTAGCAGGAGGAATGCTTGATACAGTGTAAAACACCTCTTTCAGTGGCGTTGTAGAGTTAAAAGAGAACAGGACAGTTGGCAAGGCAGGTAGGTTCAAGTGTAGGCTGCTGTTAGTACGAGCAAGACAAATGCGAAAGCGGGAAGCCTTTGTGCCTACTCTGCTTTAACACAGATAGTGATAGATGAGTTGAAGAGCTCTGATGCAGCATGGGTGACAAATGGTCTGTGTTTACAGTGAAAGGGAAAGCTGGGAGCTTTGGAAAGCTTATGCTGATCCACCCTCTAAAACCGATTTCTCCCATTGGTATGTCAGTCTGCAGGTATTGTACCGTTATTACAAAAGTTCTGCTATTGGAAAGCATTCATTGTGGGGTTTTCTGTTTTTCTTTTGTTCAGCACTGGTTCACTGAGCTTCCTCCTGTCTTAACTTTTGAGCTATCAAGATTTGAGTTTAATCAGGCTTTGGGGAGACCAGAGAAGATACACAACAAATTAGAATTTCCACCAATTTTATATCTGGACAGGTACAGTATAATATTATCAACAAAGTCCTAGTATGAATATAATTTAAATCTCATGAGTTTGGTAAGATTGCTGGTGCATCTTATACTCAAATCACAGTAACTTTCTTTCTAGCTAGGCAAGTTAAAATTTTCACGGGTTTCATCTGTTTCAGAAAATACGCGTTGATAACAATTTAAGACATACTGCTACTTTATGCCAAAACCTGCTTGCACTTCAGGCTTTCATTTATTGCTAGGTACTTGTGTGCACGGACAAAATACTCTGAACAATCACACTGTTTATGGGTCCATTTGGTAAAGAGGGTGAGAAGACGGATATTTCATGGTGTTCCAGATAGACTGCATGGTTTGAAGAGGATTCTCTGCATCACTGCATGCTGTTTATGTGCAGAGGTGAAATACCATGAAGACCATGATCAGTTAGATGCTGAATGTTATTTGTAAGCCTAAATAATGAAACAGGAGTATTGCGATGTGGTTGCTAATTAAACCACTTAATTTAGAAGCTTTCCAATACGTTTGTCATCCCTGGTATGAACAGAGCTTTTGACACTGGAGAAAAAGCATCTTCTGAAAGTTGTGGGAGTGAAGGCTTAATGGGTTTACTGTTTTCTTCTCAGTTCTGTTTTTGCTGCTTAATATGTTGTAAGTTCTAGAGAACATGAGGTTTTATTAGCACTAAGTGGTATGGCTGATGGGTGCAGACTTCAGTTTCAGTGTTGGGATATTATGGGCTCACACCTTTTTCTAATTTTGTGTTTTACAGGTATATGCACAAAAACAGAGAAATAACAAGAATTAAACGGGATGAAATCAAGAGACTCAAAGAGTACCTCACAGTTTTACAACAGAGATTAGAACGGTACTATAGATAACTGTGTACATGCAAATAGTATTATAGGCTACATAGAATAAGTCCGTTCAACTATACACATTGTGTGTAGTTATTTGCTCTAGATTTCCTCCCTGTATCTCTTTTCTTTTACTGTTTTCCTTGAACACTATGTATAAGCACGGTAATACTGATGCATGAAACATGCTAGGAAAGGCTTGCTTTATTCAATTGCAGTCAAGCAGAAAAAAAATCTTTTTTTTTTCTTTTTTTTTTTTTCTGTATATGTGAATCATGGCATTAATACGTTTTATGGTTAACAGATATTTAAGCTATGGTTCTGGTCCTAAACGATTCCCCTTGGTAGATGTCCTGCAGTACGCCTTGGAGTTCGCTTCCAGCAAGCCGGTGTGCACGTCTCCCGTTGATGACCTGGGTGCTAGTGCCCCTGCCAGTGGCATGCTGCCAGCCCAGACCTCGCCCAGGTAAGCGCTGCCTCCTGCTTTCCCAAGGTGAGAGGCCAGTCATCCCCTTGTTGCACACCTGGCTGCTGAGAGAGAGGGGAGGAAGCGTAACTACTTTGTTCACCAGACTGATACAACTAGGCATCTTCTAAGGCGTATAGGGTAAAGTTTCTGCTCTCTTCCTACAAGTATTTTTCAGCATGACAGACATAAATAAATAAACCAAAGTCTTAATAATCTGAGTTTGTCTCATGTGCTTATAAAAATATCTTTAGGCGGAGAAATACCATTTTCAAACAAAGCACAATTCCACTTAAAATTCCTAATAGAGACAGTATTTGGTGAGGTTACTGCTTCCCAAGTGTATTGGTTAAGTATCTGAATTTGGGCAGCATGTACGTGCTGCAGAGATTCAAGGTTTCTGGTGTACAATTTATCTGTTAATTTTTGCCTGGGAGTTAAGCCACTTTTCTGCTTTGCAGCTTACACTTCTCACCGAGTTTGTCAGTAACCTAACTCTGACTTTTTAAATACGGAGTAGCCAAAGTAGTAGAGGTTAACAACAATAATGTTGTTTCTTCTCATTCTTGAAGCTGGTAACTATTAGTAACAGTTAATAGAGTAACTTAGAAGAGGACTTGGCTGGGTGGACACAAACAGTTTATAGCAGAGCTTTTTATATTGCATTTGGAAAGTAGGGTTCTAGGTTCTGGTTAACTTTGCATTTGGAAAGTAGGGTTCTCGGTTCTGGTTAACTTTGTGATTCAGAGAACTGAAGTAAATTAATCTAAAAAGCCTTTAAAAGTTTTTAAATGTCTTACTGATACAATGCCAGTAGAAATCTTGATGATAGAGAAGACAAACTTTTAAAAGCTACCATTGCTTGCATGAAATACAATATCAAAAGTAATATACTTTGTTCAGACTGCTATATAGGATGTTTGTTGTGTAAAAATGTAAGTATTGTGACGACTTTTATCGATCTGTAGAAACAAGTAGTGTGTTACAAGGAGTGACATTGTCAGCTCTTAATGTCCTCAGAACTTTCTAAACTACTGAAGAATCCAGGTTCCTCAGGCAGTATCATGATGCTGTAAACAAAGTAAAAAAACAGTGGCTTGCTAAAATGATCTTCAGATTCCTGTTACGCATATTGTTACATATAGGTGGTCTTGTTGATGGGAGGGGAAAAATCTGTAACAGGTTTTCATTTTTAATATCCTGCTGCTCTTGTAGAATTCTTCTAAGCTGTCTGCTGTGCTGTTTTGAGTTAGAAGGATTGTTTGGAACAAGCTTAGATGGTTTGGTGCTAAATTTCCAGTGTGCTGTAAATATCAGAGGTCCCTTCGTTGTTGCAGTTCAGTTAACATGGGTGTTGTGGGTAGGCGATTGGAAAAAGAACATCTGCTAGGCATAAGACATGTGAAGAAGTTATTAAATGGAGAACTTGTGTTTATTGGATTTTATGGCCAATGGGCCATAAGACAAGCTGCTGTGATTTTTCACTCTGCATTTTGGCAGTAAATGTTTCAAACCACAGTCGTTACTTGTATGATGTTATTTGAAAGTGTTCAAGTGAAGCAAACTGGCTTGAACAATCCAATCCAATTTCTTTGCCTCTGGTAATGGCAGCCAGAGTTGTTATTGTGCTAACATGTTGTTACCTACAAAGTTTTCAGAATTTGCATACTAATTCATATTGATATTGTGGGTACCTTTCCTCGCTTCCACTGTAGGAAATTACTACCTTTACAATGTCTGGTTTCAGATGAAAAACTTATTTGTTTGTATATGTGATGATTCAATTTTTTTGTTTCATGTTTTAAACGAATGCAGCGCAATAGAGCAGCAGGGGCCTTCATCTTCGGATGTGCCAAGCACATCTCCTGTTCAGAGATCAGTAATACATAAACCATTCACACAATCACGAATTCCTCCTGATCTGCCAATGCATCCAGCACCAAGGCACATCACTGAGGAAGAGCTGTCTGTCCTAGAAGGCTGTTTACATCGCTGGAGGACTGAAGTAGAGAACGACACTAGAGGTAATGCCACAAGCTGGGAAATGCATTTGCTGTTAGAAAGGATTTGTGGAAGTGGGGGTAATTGCCTTAATGTCCTTAAAGTTCTCTCTAGCACATAGGAAGTGCACATATCTCAGAGATTCTAGTAGACTGGAGGTATATGAACTGAAGATGCAAACTGGGCGTTGAGTGAAGCATACATGGGTGTTTCAATGCAGGTCTCTGTGTGTGTGGTGTTGTGGGGAGTAGAGTGAAACAGAGGAGGGATCCATGCTGAAGAACGTCTCCTCAGATGTTCAGAGCTGTCAGTGTGATAGTGGCTGGGCCCATACTGTGACTTGGCACTCTGCAGGGGAGTTTAGGGTAGAGTGACCTCTTCCAAAAGAAAAAATCAGCAAATTTCTGAGTGAAGGCTTTTTGGAGTCGGTAGAGCGTACGGTCTGTTCTTTTGCTCTGAGGGAAACCAGGGAAGTAGTTGTTCCACCAGGGGTGAGCTTGGTTGAGCTCTAGGAAACAAGCAGCAGTGTTGCTTGTTTCGTAGAGCGCTCTCTGCTTTATCATCCAAGAAGGTTTAGTGTTTGGCATGTAGATAGGTAAACAGATGCACCAAATGTGAAACATACCCTTGTTTGGCTTTTGATGAGATAAAATAAAGATGTAGCCATGTGCAATTATGCAGCCTCATGGAAGAGAGTTTTGTTTGTGGTTTTTTTTTTTTTTTTCCTTTTTGTTTTAGATTTACAAGAAAGTATATCTAGAATACATCGGACAATTGAATTGATGTACTCTGACAAAACAATGGTCCAAGTAAGTACAATTTCTGCATAATATAATTAAAAATAGATCCTTTTTGTCACTTTTATTAAAGTTCTTAGGTACTTGAAAATAGAGCAAGTATACAACAATTATATTATAGTGCTTTGAGAAATTTCATTAGAAAGTCATAATGGGTTTTAAAAACTTTTAATTATGCACAGTCAGATGAAGGACAGAATTACAATATTTTACAGGTGATATGCTTAAGTTTAAGCAACTTTATGATGAAAAGCTCAAATACGTTCTGTCTCTGATCCACTTTTTTTGACTTGAATGCAGAACAGTTTTTGTATAATGCAAAATTTTCTCACCCCAATTTGACCATATTGCTAGATAATCTTACGGCTTTGGTGGCAAAGCATTAGACAGAAGAAACTGTTGTTATTATACTTTGATGCTTATTGCTATTGTGTATTGCAACTTCCATACTAATACTTGGGAATTTAAGGCTCCTGGTTTTAATTTGTAGTTAACAATGCCAGTGGGGTGGTTTTGTTGTTGTTGTTTTGGTTTTTGTTGTGTGTTTTTGTTTTGTTTTGTTTAAACTCTGTCTGTTAGTATCGGTCACAACCATGACTATTTGTCTAAGCTGCCTTTTAGGGAGTTTCTCATGCTGTATGGTCTGAACGGCGTTTTTAGAATGCTTTACTGCGGAGTCGTGGCTCCCCTGGTATTTCTTATGTTCACATACACGTTTGCTCACTTTGACAGGTTTTAAGGTTAAGGATTACTTCCTCTGTTACTTTCTGTTAGTAAAAAGAACTATTTTCCTTCCAAGTAAGATCTGTTCATCTTACAGTTTTCCTTGAGGTATGTTTTTATTTTGTACATGGTTTGTAATAGTTCCTGCCAGCTGAATTCAGATGTTAAGGATTTCAGGCAGACTTGCCTAGATGGCTTGCTTTAAGCTTGCTGCTGGCAGGCATTTTTTTTTCCTTAATACTTGCGTTAAAACAGGAAGGCTACAGGCTACATATCTAACAGTAAAATGAAGTAATTTGGTGATCTCACATCCAAATAGCCTGCCTGTGTTGGCTTAGGTGTTATAGGAGGAAATACCTCTGGATGGTGAAGATATTAGTCAGCAATCATTCCAATGGAAAAAGGAGATCACTTAGTAAAACACTTTGTCCTAGTGCAGATTGTTATAATGTAGACTAGATTTTTTTGTGTGTTTGGTTTTGTTTTGAAACCGAATTCCAGAAACGGAGGAGGATGAGGATTGTATATAGAATTGTAGAGCAGTGGTTGCGTTAAGTGATTGTTCGGGAACAAGTAGATACTTAACCCATCTGAAATCACAAGTTGGAAGTGAAGGCTGCCCTTCTGCAGCTCAGCTGTTTTTGTCCCTGTGGGTGTTTTGGCCCAACAGGAAGGAGACGGGTACATATAGCTGTCTACTTTCCCCTGCCTACCTCTCCATCTGGGTGATTGGATAGCTTAGTATTGTCCCATTCTGTGTGAGCAGTTTCACAGTATTGTTGTTTTCCTCCGAATGATACAGTTGCAGGACTGAAAACTTTTTCTAAAACTAAACTATTTCAAGGAAATAGTAATATATTTGCAGGATACTTCTTAGTGTTTGTGTGAACTATTTAAGAAGCTCTTCATCTTCTCCTTGGGTCCCCTTTGATTCTAAGGAAACTACAGTCGTCCATAAAACCCTTGTCAAATTGTCATATGAAATATATTGCCGAAATTCTTATTTTGTCTCATCATCCTGAATGAATAGATTTCATCAGCTGCTTATTTGATAATTTCCCTCCTTCCGTGAACTCGCTTTGGGGAAATAAGACACATCTGTTTTTCCTGTGGGAATTCATCTTTGATATATCAGCTTTGATATATCTGTTTTGTAGCTACATGTGACGAGGTTGGCAAAGCTCCATTTCTGTTTCATGAGTAGTCAGTGTAAGTGAAGCAGCTTAATGCCAACTATTTAATTGTTGTGTTGCCCTGTGCTATTAGTTACTGTTGATACAATGGCTTATCGCAAGAGATGCCTGTTGGCACTGAGCTTGCCTGTCTCCCAGTCACAGACTTCTGTGGGGAACCTTCGGGGAAGGTCAGCGTGGATAACTGACTGCTGGTTCTCCTGAGCTGGAGGAGAGGGTACGGGCCCTCAAGCTGACCGAGTTAGTGTGGTTTTAAGTAAAATGATTTAAAGCCATCTGGGATTTTAATGCCCTGTTTTAGGGTAAGGAAATTTTATTGTCAAAGTCTATACAGACTTGGCTTAACTTTTATTTATTTATTTATTTATTTTTTTTT